GATTAGTGGGATTTATTTTCAAGTAAGTACAAATGGCACTGCTGCAATTATGTTAAATGAACATAAACTCTGTTTTTTCTGGTTAAATGGTAACATCCTAGAAAAAAAATTATATGGTTCTGCTCCCAAATCTGAAAGAGTCTTTTCTACACTTCAGTTTTATCATGGTAAGGTAGGTGTGACTGCTACTGAACTGGTTTGAACTGGAGCCTATAAGTGTGAGAATCTGAGTTCAAGGACATTCTGACAATCAGCAAGGGCATTAGTAGCAAAAAAGTTGTAGTATCTTGGCCTTTCTTCACAAGATTAGTTACACCACTAATGGTCCAGCCTCCCTCCAGATAAGTATAAGAAAATTACAGCTTGGAAAGGACTTAACAATGTGTTTCACTAAAAGTTTTTATTCCAGGCAATAAAAGGGTTTAAATTACAAGGAAGTAGATTTGCATTGGGCATCTGAAAAAAATTCCTAATGTTACATACTGATCAACAGCAGACCAAATTACCTCTAAGATGGAGGATATTGCTGAAGGTGTTTAAAAAAAGACTGGATGGCCATCTGCCTGGATGCTATAATAGTAGATTCCAGCACAGGGCAGGCAGGGGGTTGGACTAATTGATCTTCAGGTGTGCTCCAGCCTTTATATTGAAATATTATATAATTCTATGAATTACAATTAAATGGTAACAATTCCTACTTACGTTATTTATTATTTATCAAATTTATATACTACTGAATTGTAATCAGCTCATGGTGTTTTATAACAAACAAAATCACTACAACAAAAATAAAGAATTGAACACGTTGCTAATTATTAATACTTTGACATATAAAACTGGTTGCAAGTGGTGCTCAATCAATCCTCAGAGGCCCTCCATAAGTCTATGGTTTTCCCTACCTTTTGGAAGGCTATCACTGAGAAAGCCAGCCTACCCTCATGAAAATGGGAGATCAGAAGCAGCTTTTCCCAGTGGATCTTCTTGGATGGATCAACTCTATTTGGAGTAGGCAGTTTGAAGGTACCAAGACATATAGGGCTTTATGAGTTGAAATTAGCACTTTGAATTGCACCCAGAAAAAAAATTGGTAATCAATTCAGGGCTTGTAAAATCAGTATGATATGACCAAAACAACAAGTGCCAATCAGTACATGGGCCACTGTATTCTGAACTAACTACTGTATAGTAGTTAGTTAGTATAATTGGTGGTGATAGGGAGCGAGAGGTCCCATCCTCGGCCTTTGTGGGGTGCCTCAGGGTTCGGTTCTCTCTCCGCTCCTTTTCAACATCTATATGGAGCCGCTGGGTGAGATCATCCGTCAT